ATGTAATGAAATCTCATTTTGGTTTTAATTTGCTTTTTTTTTTGACTACTGATGTGGGACATCTATTCATGTGCTTATTTGCCATCTGTACATTCTCTTTGATATTCAGGCCTTTTGAACAATTTTTAATTGGATCGCTTATTTTTATTTACTGTTGATTTTTGAGAATACTTCTTTAAATACTAGATACTAGTGATTTATTGGATATATGGCTTACAATTATTTTCTCTCAGTCTGTAGCTTGTCTTTTTCATCCTTTTAACAGGGATTTTGCAGAACAAAAGTTTTATTTTGATAATGTTCAACTTCAAGTTTTGCTCTTAAAAATTATGCTTTTGGTGTAAACTCTAAGGAACTCTTTGCTTGATCCTAGATGCTGCAAACTTTTTCCGGGTTTTATTTATTTATTTTTTTTGGTATAATTTTATGCTTGCATTTAAGTCTGTGACTCATTTTGAGTTAACTTTCCCAAAAAGTTTAAGAAACAGGTTGAAGTTTGTGTATTTATTTTGACCAACGGATGTCCAACTGCTCCCACACAATTTTTCAACAAATCTTTTTCCACCGATGACTATAGTTATGCATTAAGGCTTGAAATCAAGTAAACTGATCCTTCCACCTTTTCTTTTTCAAAATCGTTTCCACTAATCTTCATCTGCTGAAGAGCAAGAGTTTTAAGACTTTACCAAAAAAAAAATATATTAAAAAGAAAAGAAAAAACAAAAAAAACCCAAACAAAAAAATAGAGGATAATATTCATTTTGGGGGATGACTGAGAGATTATGTAGATGACACACATAAAGTACTTAACATAGTCCCTGGCATATAAGGTAGACACTTAGGTTCTTTCCTGTTTATTCTAAACCAACCATTAGAAATCCTGTAAAAAACAAAACAAACAAAAACCCCACCTCTTTGACCTCTCTTCTCCACTAACACTTTCTATTATGTTCTCAGTTTTACGTAAATTTGTCATACATACAACCAGGTAAGAAATATGCTTTAGGATATATATGTGAAGGAAACAAAACTCAATTAAAAAAACAAATGAACAAAAAAGTTGCAACTTCCATTCACATTTGGAGGTAGAAAATGACTAGTCTCTATTTCCTTCTCACATCTTCTATTTAAATATAAGAAGCTCTGATAAAGACTACAATTGATTGGGCAGCTTGGGCCTCATCTAGACATCAACAATACTTTCTGATACCCTACTAGAAGCAGTCAAGGTACATAACCAGAACAACAAAAAAAACTGTGATTATAAATATTACCCTATTCATCAGATCCTGTTTCTGAGTAAGATATTGGTGGATCATTTCCAAAGGTGAACTGCCTACTCTACTTTAGCTGTATCAGTTTCCTTGGTGTTCTTCCCACTTTTCGGGTGTACCTGAGGAGGTTCAGAGTATATGCTCAGGCTGGAATTTTCCCTCTTCCCCAAGATGTCCATATGGGTCTATCCTCATCTCCTTCCAATGTTATTCAAATGTTACCTTCTCAGGTACCACTAGCATGTAAGCTCCATGAAAGCCTTTATTTCACTGCAGTATCTTCTGCATCTAGAACAGTGTTGGTATATAGCAGTCACTTAGTAAATATTTGTTGAATGAATGAAGTAAAGAAGGTTCAAAAAGCTATTAGAAAACATAATGGTTTGATTGGTTGGGACTGTAATAATTTAAGACCAATGGGAACCTTAATAGGGAAGATACTAATATCAATTTTCTTCTGGGGGACTGTTAATGATATAGACACATATAAATAAATAAATACACATTTCACAAATTCTCCTATTCCTTTTCTCAAGCCTTAACTTACTTGCTCTGTTCCTCTCCCCTCAAAAAAAATGACAGATTAACTAAAGAAAAAAAAAATCATTTGTCCACAGGTCTTTTCCTGTCATCAGACTCCTCAGGTCCAAAATTTTGGAATCTTTTATTCAGACCTACATTCAATTTAGAATCTATGACCACTTCCCATTGTCTCCATTGCTATATTATCCCTTCAAGTCACAATCAGTTCTTGCCTAAAATATGACAAATTATCTTCTAACCTGTTTCTCTACTTCCATATTTGATCCTCCACAATCTTTATTTCCAAATCAGTTAGATTACAATGGACTGATTGTGACCAATCAAAATGTATATATATATGTTCAAGTCTTAACCCTGAATATAACTAAGATAGGGCCTCTACAGAAGTAATTAAGGTTAGATGAGGTCATAAGCACATGGCGTTGATCCCATAGTATTAACGTCCTTATAGCAAGAGATACCAGAGAGTTCACTTTCTGTCTGTCATGTGAAGACACAGGGAGAAGGTAGCTGTCTGCAAACTAAAAAGGAAGTCCTCACCAGATCTGTTCTTCTTGGCACCTTCATCTTTTAGCCTCCAGAACAATGAGAAAATAAATGTCTGTTGTTTGAGTCCCCAGTCTATGGCATTTTGTTATGGCAGCCCCAGATGACTAACATGTACATAATTTTTTTTTGAAGTCTCACTTTGTCACCCAGACTGAAATGTGGTGCCACTGCCTCGACTTCCTGGGCTCAAGTGATTCTTCTGCCTCAGCCTCCCAAGCAGCTGGAACTACTGGTGCACGCCACCTGGTTCAGCTATTTAATTTTTTATTTTTTGTAGAGATGAGGTCTCATATGTTGTCCAGGCTGGTCTCGAATTCTGTGCTCAAACAATCCTCCTGCCTTGGCCTCCCAAAGTGCTGAGATTACAGGAAATGAGTCACTGTGACTGGCCTAAGAAATTCTTTTAAAAACCTAAGCTATACCATGAAAATCTTCTGAGTAGAACCCTCCAATGGCTTCCCTCTGCTCTCAGAATCGTAGTCAAAAGTTTAACAATCCTAGCAATTGCCTTAAATCCTAGCAAAAGTCTTTAACTTGTGGCCCGTTCCTACCACTTTCCCCATCCATCATTTCCTTCAACCACACTGCCTTCTCCCTAATTCTTGAACCCACCAGGTTCTCATCTCAGGGGTCTGCACTAGCTGATTCCTTTGGCTAGAACTCTCTTTCCCTCGACACTGGGATGGTTCACACCTCACTTCCTTCGAGCTTTTGCTTCAATGTCATCTTTCAATGAGCATTACTCTGACCACACATTTGAAATTGCAAGCAATAACTCTCCTACCAGATTACATGATCTTCTCTTCTCCCTGCTCTATTTTTGTTCAAAGCACTTATCCTTCTAATACATCAAATCATTTACTTATTTATTATAAATTATTGTCCATCTCTGTGTTAGAGTATAAGCTTTTGTCTGTTTGGTTCACCAAGTATCCTGAGCACTTAGGTCCCTGTCTAACACATAAAAGACATTCAGTAAGATTCATTAAATAAAACAGAGAAGATAATAACCTGGGTTCTAATACCAATACTGCCCCTGCCATACTACATAACTTTGGCTTTATGTCGGTTTCCTTGTGTGTAATATAAAAGCTTTAAATTGTAAACGGAAAAAGCCTCCTTCTTTCCATGATGCTGACTTGGTCCTTTCTCATTGGTATGCTACTATGCCCATTGCTGGCCTTACTCTACCTCCCCTCCAGCCCTGTCTACTCCATCCTTCACTATGTATGCTCTCCTTTTCCCACAGCCTATCGCCTTGGTTCATAATGTTATAATCAGTACATGTTGAGTAAATTAAGAATTTTTGATTTATCCACCAAAAAAAGGATAAAGGCAGTTTCTGGCAGAATTCTATCATTTGTTGTGTTAATTGGTCTCCAGCTCCAATATCCAATCCTAAATTCTATGTTAGAATAGTACGAGATTTTCTAAAAATATTAACCTAGAATTTCCATGATATATTCTCTAAAAGCATATTTATTATTCACTTACTCAAAAAAGCAGATCATTTCGATTTAAATAACATTGAGCACCTCATGTTTACCCTTTAAATACTGAATACAGGTTTAAAGATCCCAAGTCTTCCAGGTTCTCCTTTTGTTATTAATGTTGAAAGGATATTTGAGATTCTGCCAGCAACTTCTCACAGAAGATATTATTAATGAAACTGAGGTATATTATTTCTAAAGGTTAGTTTAATAGACTTGCAATTTCATAGTTAAACTGTACCATCCATTCTAACTTAAAAGTATACATAGTTATGAGTTCCCTTTAGCAATAACACCTTTTCAATACCTTCAAGAATTATTACAATAAATCCAAATCAATATTATTCCAGTTTCTAATTCGAGTAGGAGACTGAGTCAATAAATTAGATTGCATTAAATAAACTTAGATTTGGAGTTATTTTGGTGATTTTTTTTAGCAGCTATTTAGTGAGTATCCATTATGCACAGGTGCTTGCTGAAGCTTAAAAAACAAAACAATACCTTTTTTCAAGGAGCTCACAGATCAGAAGGAAGAACTCATGTACTCATGTTGAATTAATAATGGTTTTAATACGAAGCAAAATTTAAACAAACTTATTTAGTAGTTTTAAATTTTTCTCTATCTTCTCTTTTCTGTTAAATCAAAATAAAAAACATTCCACCCTTTTTCACCCACAGAGTAACAGAGAAAAATACGGGATTATCTTCCTAAAGATTAATAGTGGGTCATACTTGTATAATTTTAAAAATAATCCTGTATATCAAAAAACATGCCAGTAATGTATTTTCAAAAATAAATTTTTATCCCTACAACGAAATCAGAAAATAAATGGTATGGGACACAAATGAAACCAGCAAATTTAAGCAAGAGCTTAAGGCTTCTGGCAAAAAGGCTGCTCTGATAGGAAAAGCAACCTAGGTGGCAGCATCTTCCCCAAGCCAGACCCGGGGACAAGCCTTAAGCACACTAGTTCTCTCACCCGCCAACGCTCGAAACCGCGATTGGAGAAGCGCTCTGATTGGCTAAGCTTGAAGGCCGCAACGTACTCCACGCCCACTGAGATTCGGCCTTCCCAACCTCGGCTCAGATTCCGCTTTCCGATTGGTCCCCACAGCAAGCGTGCAGGGCGGGACAAACGCTGAAGTTGACCTCCGAGGCCGGAACCGCGGCGAAGATGGCGGCGGCCGGGGGCTGGAGGCCTGCGCTGCGCCGTCGGGGCCTTTTATTGCACACCGCAGCCGAGGTCGCCGCCGCCAGGGCTCTAGAAGCCGTCGGCCCAGATGTCACAACGGCCCCAGTCGCGCGGTACCCGCCGATTGTGGCCTCCCTGACAGCTGACAGCAAGGCGGCGCGGCAGCGGCGGGTGGAGCGCTGGCAGGCGAAGGTGCACGCGGCTGAGTCGGTGGAGGAGAAGCTGCGAATCCTCACCAAGATGCAGTTCATGAAGTACGTGGTGTACCCGCAGACCTTCGCCCTGAACGCCGACCGCTGGTACCAGGGCTTCACCAAGACCGTGTTCCTGTCCGGCCTGCCGCCCCCGCCCGCGGAACCCGAGCCCGCGCCGGCGCTGGACCTGGCGGCGCTGCGGGCCGCCGCGTGTGACTGCCTCCTGCAGGAGCACTGCTATCTGCAGCGCCGGCGGCGGGTGCCGGTCCACGAGGCGCGCGAGGCCATCGTTTCTCCCTTCCTGGATCAGCTGGTGGTCGTCCTGCTGGGCCTGCTCAGCCCGCACAACCCGGTCCTGGCCGCCGCCGCCCTCGGTGAGCCTCGCGCCCCGCCACGGCGGACGGGAGAGGTGGGGCTTGCGGTGAGGGCCTCACTCTGCCGCGGATTTGCTCCTTCGCCTTTTTGTGCTCTGTCTTGTTCATTTCTTTTTTCCTGGTCTCTCTGCTCCTAGCTGCGGGCAGCCTGGTTTAGTCGCCGTCACTGCGTGACGAATCTGTAGACGAGGTCCTAATGACTGCTGTGCCCCCTCCTAGCTGTGAAACTCTAGGGGAGCCTACCTAAGCTTTCCAGGATTCCAGCCCTTGACCACTTTGTGAGTGTCCAGCCGAACGGAAGAGCGGTGGAGGTGAAGAGGAGCGGCCCTTGGACAGTCCTGGGTTGCCTTTTGTCGCCACTACCCAAAAGCTGTGTGGCTAAATGTCAATTCGTGAACCTCTCTCAGCTGAATTTTTCTCACTTTCAAGATGAGAATTACAGGAGTAGTGTTTTGTCTTAGAATTGTGAAGATTAAATGAGGTATTAGCAAAAAGGCCTAAGGTTTATTCAGTATTATGTGCTAGGCCCTATGCTCAATTTTATGTGTCAACTCATGAATCCTCACAATAACCGTTTACCGTAGGTAACGATGTTTTTATAAGTGAAAAAAACAAGCGGAGGCCTAGAAATGTAAAATGTGTCAAGTCTGAGACCCTGTAGCTGAGGGATTGAGGGGCCAAACTTCAAACCTAGCCATTCTGAGTTGCCAGTAAACAGTCAGCAACTTCTGTTTAAACTGTGCAGGGAGAACATGAAAAGTAACATAGAGACCGCTTTAACAATTAGTGTTTCGGACACGTTCATTTTATATCTACTACCGAGTGTCTTAATACTGAATTAATGCTGTGATTGTAGATGTGTGCTCAACTGAGCCTTCTAGTGAGCGTGTGAACTCAGTTGAGGAAGTTGTCCTTGAGGAAAGCATCACAAACTACGCCTGATTGGTGGCCTAGGAAACTTAACTTTGTCAGGACCCAGGTTCTTCTTTTATAAAATGGAGATGATGAAAACTATCATACGTTTTAGGGTTATTGTGAGGATTGAATTGATAAAACTGCTCTGACTCCTGTTAAACTTTTTATTTCTGGTGAGTGGTATTCCTGTTAACTTATTTCATTTTTATTCTCCTAAACTGAGAAACTTCTTTGGTTGCAGTGCTAAGCATAGTGATGGCACAGGTAGAAAATAAATGCTTGAATGTTATTTTTAAGTCATCATAATTAAATTATCACACAACTCAGATTCTATTTTACATCAAAGCAATTTTTGATATCTTTTAAAATTAGACGTATTCTTAAATTGTCTGTTACTTCGCATTCTTTAGTGTTCTGATAGTAGTCAAATTAATCTAGATGATCAGATGAAAAAAAATCGAATATCTTTTGACAGACTGTAAACGCCCAGTTCACTTTTACTGGTTGCGTGGTGAAGAAATTATTCCTCGTGGTCATCGAAAAGGTCGAGTTGATGCCTTGCGATACCAAATAAATGATCAACCACACAACCAGATTCGAATATCCAAGCAACTCCCTGAGGTAAGGATTTATTGCATGTGTATCTATAGTAAATACATGTTACGTATGATGTAATTAGATACGTATACATAGCCGATTAGGTCAAAGGCTTAGTAAGATAAAATGTTTTGGGTGACGTCTTGCCTTTCAAGTTTCCTTTCAAGACGGTTTCATCTGAAAATCTTTTTAAACTTTTTAATCTGTGGTGTATTTTGAAAAGATCAAATAATCATATTAAGAATGACAGATTAAGGCATCATTTTGCAGGATCACACAGATTTTTATCTTTCTCTTAATATAAAAATGCTAATAATATGATTGTAATTTACAGTAGACTATACTAAATAATCATAAATCATGGAAGTTTGACAGTTATAAGCTGGGTTGTTTTATGTATTTGTCGTTCTTTTGGAGAAAAACAAATATATTTTTGAGTATTACTCATGCTTTAAAGTCAGAGGTTGCTTGTCACACTTTTTCTGTAAAGATCCGGATAGTTGATATTTTAGACTGTAGGCTATAAATGTCTGTTGCACTTATTCAGCTCTGCTCTTATAGCCATATTCAATATATAAATTATATAAATGAATATGTATGGCTGTGTTTCAGTAAGACTTTACTTGTAAAAAAAGGTGACTAGCTGGGTCTAGCCCATCATTAGATGGTAGAAATATCACGTCATTTTGTAAAACCACCTTATTTAAACATTTTTTAATCTAATAAGAATGTGAGTAAAATGCATACTAATGTTGCTGTGAATTCAATATGTTTTCTTTTTCTTTAAGTTTGTGCCATTGGATTATTCTGTTCCTATAGAAATCCCTGTTATGAAATGTAAGCCAGACAAACTTCCGTTATTCAAAAGGCAGTATGAAAACACCATATTTATTGGTAAGTTTCTCTTTTACCATACCATAAATGCATTCAAAGTGTCCTATACAAATTTAGAGCATGAAAAAATAAAAAATGAATTCTTGATGACCAAGAGGCTCTTATAGTTCATGAGCAATATAATTCATAACTTCAGGTTATTGCTAAATGCATGAAAATTGGAAAGAAAATATTCTTTCAGCTCACCATTCTGAAATTTTACTTGCTTCTACTGAAATAGCAGAATTTAACTTTAAAAGATAGCTATTAAGCTTTGTTGATTTATTACGTAGAAAAAATAATTTGTTTCAAAAGTAAAAATTTGTCTAGAACCAGACTTAAGACAGTGAATGGCTTTTTCACTGAAGTGTCACATTTGTTCTATGAGTAGTGATAACCATCAGGAATTCACAAATTAATAACGCCTGATGTGTGCCCTTTTCTCATGCAGCTTATTCTTCTGCTGTTTTTCTTCTTTTGTTAATTCCTAGCTGACTTGAGGAAGTTTTGAAAAGGCTTTATGCAAGTTCTCCAGACCTGTTTTATCAGCCTCTTCTCGGTTACTGTGATCTTAGGAAGTGACCTATAGAGAACTTATAGCTGAAAAGACTTTACTACTAAAATCAAGAATGTCAGCATTTTATGAAATATTTCTTATTTTCTTTACTTAGAAATGTAGTCTAAAAAGCATTTTTAAAAATTAGGATAAATGTATATAATTATTTTATTAGATAATATAGGAAACTTTTAAAGTTACGACATGGTTTTATCTTCTAGCGAATATGACAAGGAGGCTAACAAAGCTAATGATGACTAAGGAATTTGAGAAAACTGAAATAGTAGAGAATTTGAAATAAGTTTTATATATATTCTTGTCTTAGGCCGTGTTATGGTAGGCTTTATGGTAGCTATCAGAGTGAGAAATTGTGCTTTCATGTGAAATTTAACTTTATTATAATTAATAAAATAAGCAAACTAATATATTCATTTATGCATTTTGAGCACTGAGCACATGATATATAAAGAAAAAAATGGGTTCAAATACTAAAACATGTGCTCCATATGTTGTACATGTGCATTTCATCCAAATGTTTTTATTTTGCTCTTCAGGCTCAAAAACAGCTGATCCGTGTTGTTATGGCCACACTCAGTTTCACCTGTTACCTAATAAATTGAAAAGGGAAAGGCTTTTGGCACAAAATTGTGCTGATCAAATAGAAGTTGTTTTTAGAGCTAATGCTATTGCAAGCCTTTTTGCTTGGACTGGAGCACAGGCTATGTATCAAGGTAAAAACTAATTATATAACTGCTTTTGAAAGTTTCTATAACATTTTCAGAACTGAGTAGTTCAAATTATTTTCTTTGTGTTAAAATGTAGGTTGCATCTTAACATTTTGAAAACCTTTGTATTGACACAAAATAGTTTTAAAACCTAGAGTTAAATATTTTACAGTTGTAATTTGCAAATGATACTTAAGTAGTTATTTTAATCTTTTACTTTACCTCCTATGCGAAGTTATCTTTTTCTGGTGGTTTTTGCAAGGATTTCAAAGACCTTATAGCTAATTAAATCAATCCCTTGTCGATGATAACAGCTTTCTGAAGTAGAAAAGGAAATGATTTTGTGGATTAAATATTTAGATTAAATTATGACTATCCTATGTAATTTCTTTAAAGGACATGTCCAGGATTTGAATTAGGAGGTTGTTCATTCATTCTATAACTAACGAATGCTGTTTAGATGCCATGTACTGTATTTGTTGGAGGTGTAGTGTTGAATGAAACAGATTCTGCTCCCCTGGAATTTATATTAATAGTAGGAGAGTAAAAAATAATGAGCATGTAATATTTTCAGCTAGTGGTACTACTATGGAGAAAATATACTACAGTAAGGTATAGAATGATGTATAGGGGGTGGGTATGCATGCAGTGTAGGGAGGGATCGATTTGAATAAAGTCATCCAGAGGAGGTCTCTAAAAAATAACTTAGGACCTGAGACCTAAATGTTCAAAAGCGACCTATGTACAAATCTGGGGTAAGACAGTTCCAGATAAGAGGAATGGCAAGTTAAAGTCTTTGAGGTGGAAACAGGGTGGAAGTGATTAAAGAACAGTATGAAGACTGATGAAGAAAGGGAGAGGGAGAATGATGGAGAATGGCATTGAGGAAGCCAGAGACTATCCTGTAGGACTTTTAGAGCTTATCATATAAAGTAGTTAAGTATGAACTAGATTAATTCTATATTAATGTTCAGGAGAAACTTTAATACAAATGTAATTATTACTAGGCTCGCCTTGTTCATATATATATATGTATCTTAACCTATACTTGCAATTGTTGACTTACATTTTTATAATAGAAATGAAGGGAGAGTGTGGGAATAGGAGTAAACACAGTTAGAAGAGTGAGAGCTAGTTTTCTTGAAGATGTTAGGATGCACTGTTTATTCTTGAAAGATAAAGTACTTTTTACAAGTAGAACTAACAATATTTTAAGAATATTATTCATTGGCTTTGTCCATTAAGGATAATATAAAATATGTGTGGAAAAAGAAAGTTTCTGCTTGGCCTTGGCATTTGGGTTTAAAAGTATTAAAACCAGTCAGCCTGAACAAAAAGCAACCCGAAAATTTGAGTAGTTAATGGTATTAAGGCATCCTGGGATGTTATGACATATTTTAGGCAAAAAGACAACAGCTCAAAACTAATTCTGAGATATGTAAAGAAAGTTACTGAATTTATTTAAGGACATTGTTGAAATCCTTAGAGAGGTGGTTTCTTTTGAAAGTACATTTTTGTGGATTTGGTGAAGTAAATGGCCAAAATGGCTGTTGGGGGTAGATGCTGCTGGTATGGTGAAAATTTGAACATATTTGAAGCCAGTTGTAACAATGTAGTTTCTACCAGATGTAGAAGGGATCGGCAAAGATAGAGCTTGCTGCCGTTAAATAAAGTAAGTTAAGACTGAAAAACCGTGGAAGACTGAAGTTGTTGAAAAAGTTGAATCATGAGTTTGGGGATACCAGAAGTGTGGAAAGAATTTTCAATGCAGAAATGTAATATAGGGTTAGAATGGAGAAGATAAGAAAATTTGGAGATTCTGGGAATTAAAATATGTAGATTTTAGGAGATATTTGATAACCTCTAATGTATTTATTTTATTTTTGTTGAACATATTCTATGTATAAATTTCAACATAACTTTCTTCTACAGGGTTCTGGAGTGAAGCAGATATTACTCGACCTTTTATCTCCCAGGGTGTGATCACAGACGGAAAATATTTTTCTTTTTTCTGCTACCAGTTAAATACGTTGGCACTGACTGCACAGGCTGATCAAAATAACCCTCGTAAAAATATATGTTGGGGGACACAAAGTAAACCTCTTTATGACACAATTGAGGATAATGATGTGAAAGGTTTTGATGATGATGTTCTACTTCAAATGGTTCACTTTCTTCTGAATAGACCAAAAGAAGACAAATCACAGCTGTTGGAAAACTAAGAACTTATTTGATTCAGGACTTTGGAAATATTTAAATTTCACTGAAGAAACAATGATGATGAGACTTATAACTGTCAAATATTAAATGTATTGATTTATGAGACAAATATTCTGTATGTCAGTCTATGATTAGACCTCTCATTCTGCTCATATTTGTTACTGAAAGATTTAACTTTAATTATATTTTGTTGGTTTTAAAATAAATTTACTTATATATAGCTAACTGATAAAACTGAGCTATTAAATGCACATTTTAATATAAATGCAGGAATCCTAAATAAAATGCTAATGTACTAAATTCAGCAGTAATTAAAAGAAACAATTACGGCAGGGTAGAATCATTTCAGTAATGACTAAATGTTAGTAAATAATGCTAATAGAGAACATTAGTTGTTCAAAGGAGAAAAAAAGGATTTGGATAAAATTCTCAATCTTGGTTTAAAAATAAAATAGGTAAGTATTAATAGTATACGTTAATGAGAGTCTTAAATTTGTCAGCATCTAACTCATGTTTAATGGTGAAACATCAATGACATTTCTATTGAAATCACATAAGACTGTCAGCTTTGACTTTTATATGCTTTGTTTACTAATCCAGTCCAAGTGCCTAGAATCTTAGAAGTAGGCGCTATTGATAAATGTTGAATGGGTATGAATTAGTGAATTTAAGGTAGTCATTCTTCCTAGTTTGATTTCTGGTCTGTGCATTTGTTTACATTTTTTATTCCTCAACAAAGTTTATAGTTTCTTTTTATGTTGATCACACATTTCCTATTTATGCCTAAGTTTTTGTGTAATTGTACATGGAATTTTTCTTTCCAATTTTATCCTTTTTATAGTTTTTTTAAATGACTTTAGATAACTGATATTAATTACTATATATTTATTTTGTAAAAAACTAATTTAATTAGCTTATTAAGTCAAATAATTTTTCAGTTGATTCTCAAGAAGTGGGTATGTTCAATCTGATTTGGGTTCCCCTGAAACTACTTATCATCATAGATACCAGCTAACCATTAACGTCTATGTAGCAAAATCCATTTGACAGTTTTTTTCTATCCTTATTTTACTCTGTACAGTTGAACACATGGTTGACCTCTCTGTTCTTGAACTTGTGCCTTTTATTTCCTTCAATGAAACATACTCTTGGTTTTCATCGTAACTCATTGACAATTCTCTTATATTCCCTTTGCTATTCTTTCTCTAGCCTTTCTTCAGATTTTGATATACCTCCAGGTTTTGTTCTAGTCAATGTAATTCACACTGTCCCTAGATGACCTTACAAATTCCATGAATTTAAATATACTTATAAGCACATTCAAAAGTAAAGTTTGATTTCAATTTTGTACTTTGGATCACCGTTAAAACTGAATAGGTCTGAGTGAGTACGGTTATTGACCATTTTTTTTTCCCCCTAATTTTTTTTTTGAGTTGGAGTCTCATTCTGTCACTCAGACTGGAGTGCAGTGTCCACTCCCAGCCACCGTAGCCTCGACCTGCTGGGCTCTGGCCATCCTTCTGCCTCAGCCTTCCAAGTAGCTGGAACTACAGGCGCGTGCTACCACGCCCAGCTAATTTTTTTGATTTATTGTAGAGATGAGGTCTCGTCAAGTTGCCCAGGCGGGTCTCGAACCCGCGGGCTCAGGCTATCCACTCACCTCAGCCTCCCAAAGCATGGGATTACAGGCTGAGCCACCGAGCCCGGCTATTTTCTCCCTAATTTTACAATGTTCCAGATTTGCTAGAAAATACATATTTTTATAATCAGAAGACAATTTAAAGAAACAAATTCTCTTGAATGGACTCTAGTATGGAACTGTCAACTTATGTCAGATTTCACTCTATCATAACCAACTTCATTATGAAGTTGTATTTGAAAAGTCTTGTCTTGATTATATGTTATTCAAGAAAATTTACATAGGTTTTATCATACATATATTTTAATTTACTCAAAGTCACTAGTACCTGGAAACTGAAACCTTAGATACTAGACATGAAGGCTTTAGATTTTTTTTTCATAAGATATTTTAATAGACCCGTACTGTGGTTTGAATTTGTTTTCCCTAAAATTTATGTATCAGAATCCTAACCCCCAAGTTTGTGGTATTAGGAGGTAGAGCCTTCATGAGTAGAATTAGTACCCTTCTAAAATAGACCCAAGGCAGCACATTTACCCCTTTTATAACGTGAGAGCACGGCAAGATGGTACCATCTATGTACCAGAGAGCAGACATTCACCGGACACTGAATCTGTTGGTGCCTTGATCTTCCTGGTCTCCAGAACTAGGAGAAATTGATTTCTGTTGTTTATAAGCCGCCCAGATTATGGAATTTGTTATTGCAGCACAAAAGTACTAAGATGACAGTTATTGCATTTTATATTAAATTCTCACCTAGCCGGGCTCGGTGGCTCAGCCTGTAATCCCGCGCCTTTGGGAGGCTGAGGTGAGTGGATTGCCTGAGCCCGCGGGCTTGAGACCCGCCTGGGCAGCAAGACCTCATCTCTACAATAAATCAAAAAAAATCAGCCGGGCGTGGTAGCGCATGCCTGTAATTCCGGCTACTCGGAAGGCTGCGGCGGAAGGATCGCCGGAGCCCAGCAGGCGAGGCTGCGGTGGCCGGGAGCGGCCACTGCACTCCAGTCTGGGTGACAGAGTGAGACTCCGACTCAAAAAAAAAAAAAAATTCTCACCTAAGTTGTATAATACTTGGGTTACATAAGAGGTAAGGTTGATTTACATAAAATGTTAGTTACAATACTTTAAAAAATTGTCCATTTACTGTTATGAAATTGATAAATTCATGCCTTTGGATAGAGAAAATAAGAAAAGAGCAAGGCACAAGCAAAGTAAATGGGAAAAATTGCTATAGATAATAATGAGAATAGGTGAAGGCCTTTTGGTTTACAATATTGACATTGATCGACCAGTGTTTGGACAAGTTGAGTTTTTCAACGTGAAAGACTTTTTTTGTTGTCCAAAGTTTGGCCAGGAGGTTTTATAAGACAAAAATGACAATAAAAAAATAAAAACCAAGGAAGAAATAAGGAATTCACAAAGAATAAGAATTTGTAGATAATGTTTCAAGTATAAGACAGTTATTATCTTCGTGAATATTAAACAACTGATGGAGTAAAATTTGGCAATAGCTACTATCCAAATAAGTTTACCCTTGTATTAACTATAGCTTCTGTGGCTATATAACTTTAAGTCTATGCTCATAATTGGCCTGTTTTAAAAAATATTTCTCTAAGACAACGTTTTTAGTACAAATTAATCCATTTCTCAATTTCATTCCTGTTATTTTTCTCTGAAAAATAATAACTGAATTATTTCTCACATTGTGATTGCCTTTTGTGTTCTTTGTTATCCTAGAGAATTCCACATTTCACTTTGTAAAGTTTTTGTAATTATTACTTGGCATTTTATACTGACTTTTGAAACTTTATAATAGTTTGTACAGAAGTTTGAGACTTATTGTGTTGGTTGTGTTTTAGCTTTTTGCATTCTTAAGTTATGGTTGTTAGATGACTTATTTTTATAATTTTATAATGGAACTGCCATTGGATTTAAAATACAGATAATATTCTCTAGAAAGGAATCAAATGATGGGAATTCCATACAAATGGGATCTCTTTTACTTTTTTACCTTTGTAAGTTTTGGGTAAGAAACAAAAAGTTTTTATTCCAGTTCTTGGTGACATAAAGATTTAATCAGCAAAAACTACATTATCCAGTTTAGAAAAACTAAAGAGAAAAAAAGCTATCCTTTATTTTTTTAATAATAATTCCAATAATTTTCTAAGATATGTTAGGTGATTATAAATTTGATGCATTAATATTTTAAATATATACCCTCAATATTTTTATGAAAAATGTGTTGATATACAGAATTTCACAAATTTAGCATTTTTTTATATGTTTTATATACATGCATAAAATGGGAATCATTGTATTCTTTTTTGCTATGGCCTTAATCATACTATAGAGATACATAATGCATTTTATATTTAGTAGAATGACCCCCAAATAGTCAATAAGCTTTAGAAGGAGCTAGCTGTCATTTCTAATTATTTTAATCTAGGTCTGAATTACTAAAAGTTGTCCTGACCTTAGGAAAATGAAAGCTTATGAGAGCTTTAGCCACTAGCATAGTATGTCTTTGGCTTTTCACCGTATGTAAAACTTAACTTTGTTTTGCAAAATAATATTTATGTTATAAGCACTTTATTAGGATTTCTGAAGCCTTTCAGGACATTTTCTGTCTTCATTGTTAGGAATACTAATGAAGGTGGGTAGGATTTAAAGTTGGAATACACATCCAAGATAATTGGTCGTTGTTTATGCCATTCATTGTAACCACATGCAGTATTTTGTTTGTTTCTTTGTTAATTAATTACCAATATTTTTAAAAGGAGGAGTATTACAAAAATCCAGAAATCCAGGTTCTCTTAAAAAATGGGAAGATATGGCAATTGCAGGTTTACATTTCTTAGATGTAAACAATAGACAGGAGCTGGGAATTGTCTGCTCTGGGTCCTTTGAGATGGCGCATACTCTCCAATTTGTCACAGTTCCTGCCACTCTTCATGTCTCTTCTCTACCTTAACAACATTCAGCCTACCTCACTAATTTCTAGCAAATATTTTTCTAAGGCATTGAGTTTATGACCCCTTAGACCCAGATAGCTGTTAAGAACTTGCATTACTGGTGACAACCTTTGTGATTACTTTTTAGGCTCTAGAAATCTCAGTTTTATGGCAAAAAGCATTTTGGTAGTCATTTAGAGGAATTTAAGGGCATTTGAGATAATTAAGCAAAACCTCTAGTCTGGGTTGGAGGATGATATTTAAAGTCATCTGGCAAAACATAAACTTCTGTTCCTTTCTCTGCTGAATGAATGGTGAAGTGAATCATGCTTTATTTTGTTTGGGCAGTCTACTTACAAAATTGGGAGAAATTTTGTCCATTTCTATAGAACCAAAATTGATAACCAGGGAGTATTTGGACACTACATTTAATATTTAGTTTCCCTTTATAGCCTAGATAAGGCTATTCACACCATCACTCTCCATTTAGGGAAGGATGGTTAGGATGCTTGTGCAGGATTGATCCCTTAGAAGATGCCCAAGTAGTGCTACAGGCTGGCTAATAAGCTGTGAGGTTTCTTATCAAGCAAACAAAACCATTTCAAGTTCTGTTTTAAAAAATTGTGGATTAGATTATTTTGTCCAGTCTTCCTGCCGTAACACCTGAATACATATGACATCTATTTGAAGGTATTGGAAAGCTAGCATGA